GAGGCTTACAACTGGGGTGAGGGTATAATTTAGTCTGAATTAGTTCCATCAGCTTACTTTCTGCTATCACCTAGCTGAAGTCAGTCATACTAAAGAGATGATAATTTTACCTGGGGATGGAATGTTTTGCATAAGGAATATAATCATGTTGGGGACAGAGGTGTGATTCTTTGTAATGACAGAAGCATCAAGAAGTCCACAGAATGCACAGAGAGTGGGTATCAGGATTTGAGAACACAGAGAACAAGCAAACTTAAATCTTCTCTGAAAGTTTGCTTAGAATATTAGACCTGGAATATTAAGAACAATCATCAGTGCTACCTAAAATAAAAAACTATTATTGGTCAATGTTTAAAAGTTATTTTAATTATATTATTTTGAAGATATATTTTATATTTGGTAGTAAATACTATCTATAATTTTTAAAGCTCCATCTTGTTTTTGATACAACAAAAGGTATTATCTTTTACCCATTATTTTCCATTTTCTTTACATACTCACATGTTAATTTTCAAATGAGGACATAAATCCTAACATGTTTAAAACACTATCTTTGAATACAAGTCCAGGTATATTTCAAGCTTCACATGAAGGTCAGTGCTCAGAGCTAAGATAAAACTGGAAAGAATGAGTTATGGCCAAAAATTGGGCACACTTTTAACCAGGACTTTTTGGATGGTGAGCTGTACTAAAAAGAACAAAAACAACAAATCACAGCCCAAGCAAAACAGTTCTCTTATGTTCTATTTTATACTCGTCTTCCAAATATGGGGGAGAAAATCCCTTTTATCAAAATAAGCAAACTTAATAAAAAGCAACAAAAAACATTAGCAACAAATTTGGGCCAACTAAAAACTATGGAACTTTTTTTTCAGAAGGCAAAGCATTAAATGGCAAGATAAAAATAAATCTTTGTGCTAGCCGGTAAAAATTCCGTGGATGTGTGCTCTTCAATGCGAGTCACAAGTCTAATGTCAGGTACAGTCTGGCTATGAAATGGAACAGACTGTGTTAGCCTTACATGCTGTCTCCAATCACTCCTCTGCATCTAGCCAACACTCTGTCCCGCCTCATTTGCAAGAGTCCCAGCCACATTTACCAGCATGATCATTTCTCCTTTCTTAGCATTTCTGTCTCTACCTACTACTGAAGATAAGTCTTTGACAAGTCTATATGGGGAAAATGCACAGCAGAATCATGGGATCTTAGCATTATTGATCATTGCCAAACTTTGTATTTTTAGAGATAAGAAAACCGAAGTACAACTAGGTTTTAAATCTTGCTCAGAGTCATACAATGACTAAGCCTCAGAGCTAGGACTTGTTAGGTAATCCTCTCTGAAATTGCTGGAGACACTGCTCTATGTATCTTTTATATTTCTGCACATTTTGCAAACAGAGGCCCTGAACACATTTGTTCTGAACTAGCTTTTCAAAGATATTTATATAGTGGAAAGCCTTGAAAAATAGAGATGATGCTTCACTCCAGAGCAAAGGAAGGTTTATTTTTTGTCCAGTATAACAAATATAATGTCTCCCTCTGGGGCAAAGTGTAGGCATACTCACTGCATATTATTAAAGATTCAAACTTCCTAAGCTCGGGGTTCCTTTCTTGAAATGCAAACCACCAAGTATAGTTGATTGGTTTTAGGACGGCCCCCTCTCCCCACTGCCCAGCTATGGATACCAAAATCCATGGGTGCTCAAATTCCTGATATTAAATGGTGTAGTATTTGCATATAATCCATGGATCCTTCCTGTATATTTTAAATCATCTTTCGATTACTTATAATACCTAATACAATGGCTGCACATCACTTAATTCCCATGGATTCAGTGTGATATTTAGCATGCAGCAAATTCAAGTTTTGTTTTTTGGAATTTTGTGAGATTATTTTTCCTAATACTTGTATCCATGGTTGGTTGAATCCACAGATATGCAACCCACAGACACGGAGGGCCAACAGGCTTCAGTGAATGGGTACATGTGCTGATAGTTGGCTCACCATTATTGCTGTAAATAAAAAAAGACATTGGTCTCTGACCCAGGAATCTATATCTTCTGCCATGAAACTGTGGCAGGTTGATCTGTGACCTTGTGAGAGGGGCTAAAATCTTAGACCCTTCACAGTTTTTGACCAAAGGATAAAATCTTAGTGACAATTTATCATGTAAAGGGAGAAAATATTAGGTGTTGTGAGGCCTTTTGCCTCTAGATTTTTGGCTGTTTGATTTTTCTAATTCAGGGTAATCTAATTACCATTTTTTGGGCATTATGTGTTAGGACTAATATATAACATTGTTTATTCAAATTAAGTTATACATACACACATATACAATCTACCTGAATTTTAAAATTAAACCTATGACATGGGTCTTCTTAACCCCACTTTGTGTATTAGAAAAAACAGAAAAAACAAAACACTCTTAAGTCACATAGCGAATAGGTGGCAGAGCTAAAATCTCTGGTTTCAAAATTTGTGTGTTTTTAACTGCCAAATGAAACATAGCTTAAAATTACACAGGACACTTTGGCTTTAAATATAATGTCAGATTCTATAGTGTTATGTTTAGTTTTACTATTGTACTTTTACAATCATATCCTATATTTAGGTAATGAAATGTTGTTACCTAATCTGCATTCAATATTAAATATTCAGTACTCATGATAAATAAAATGTTAATTTTGTGAATATTGAGTTTATTATATGTGGTATTTTTATAGCAACGCTCTACAAAGTAAAGTTGCAGTTTATAAAACTTAGGTCAGAAAATAATTCTGTAGACACTTCTTTAAAGCTACACATGTAAGAAAATTTTCTTCATCTAGAGAAAGATAACATGATGGTAGAAATAATTCCACTTAAAAGGTTGTATATTCTGTGAAACTATATTGCTAGTCACAAAGATAAATAGAAAATTAAAACACTAGACAGATTATGGAAAGAACTACAAATTCCTAAATCTTATAAATATTCTTGAGAATAAAAAATGTTTGAAGCATAAGAAGATAGAAAATACCTCTTAGTTTTATAGAAGCAAAATGTAAAATATAAACTTATATAAGAATTACTTGGGAACTTTTTAAAAAAACTGGTAATCTATTTCTGACCATAAACAGCTTTTCATTTTTATGATTTTATTCTGCTAAGTACAAAGCTAAAGAAACTTAATGTTCTGAATCAACAATTCTGAAATGTAAATAGCAACAAAGAAAAATATATTTTTAAATCTGTAGGATCTGGTAAAAATGTAAAAAATAATTTCTCCAGATTTCCTTTACTAAGGAATTTCTGGATATTTTTAATATTTTATTAATCAAAATAATTATTTTAATTGCTTCTCCCCAAAATATTACTTTTTTAAGACAACTAAAAAATTGTCCAGCCAAAATTTACAAAAAAACAAAAACCTCAGCTTATATAGTAAGTTACAATTTTTATATAAAACAATAACTACAGAAGCAAATTTACATATTTACATTAGACATGTGTCTTAAATTGAAAGTTGAATTATGATTTATTATTTTATTTTAATTCTCAGTAAATGACAGTAGATGACTATAATCTTTACAGTGGGACAGGCCAGTGTGGCTTATGTTTGGAGTGAGAGCAGAAATCCCAATAGAAAAGCTGATGGATTAAGATAGATTAGTTTCTTGATTCAACTAGGAGACAAATTAATACAAAACAAAATTAAAGGTATGCAGATCTAAGCTTTAATTTTGCAGTAAAGAACTTTCTGGGGGCATAAACTATTAAACATTAAATGGGTTTTAAAGAAGAAATTTGAGGAACCCTTTCACTGATGGTTTTTAAAGTAGGCTATCATTTTATCTATGAGGGCTCATATACCTTCCGATTTTTTGTATTTTTATATTTTGTATATATAAATAAATATATAAATATATAGATAACATAAACATATATATAATTGCACTTTAGGTTCTGGGGTACATGTGCAGAACATGCAGGATTGCTGCATAGGTGCATACATGACAATGTTATTTGCTGCCTCCATCCCCCCATCACCTATATCTGGCATTTCTCCCCATGTTATCCCTCCCCAACCTCGCTACTCCCCACTGTCCAGTGTGTGATGCTCCCCTCCCTGTGTCCATGTGTTCTCACTGCTCAACACCCGCCTATGAGTGAGAACATGAGGTGTTTGATTTTGTGTTCTTGTGTCAGTTTGCTGAGAATGATGGTTTCTAGATTCATCATGTCGCTACAAAGGACACAAACTCATTGTTTTTTTTATGGCTGTATAGTATTCCATGGTGTATATGTGCCACATTTTCCTTGTCCAGTCTAACATCAATGGGCATTTGGGTTGGTTCCAGGTCTTTGCTATTGTAAATAGTGCCACAATGAACATAGGCATGCATGTGTCTTTATAATAAGATGATTAATAATCCTTTGGATGTATACCCAGTAATGGGACTGCTGGGTCAAATGGAATTTCTATTTCTAGGTCCTTGACTCTAGGAACCTATAAGGAAACTGAAGATGGTAATTTTTGTCCCAAATTCCTAACATAGTTAAAACACAGAATTTATTCATTCAGTGTCCTGTATTAAACACACAGAAAAATTGAGAGGATTCCGGAAAGGAGAAACAGATTTTTAGGATCAGAATAATTTAATTATAAAGAAATATATACTTTGGGGGAAAAAACAAAGTATTATATAACTAAGAACTACTGTAATTATTACTTTTAAAATAAAGCAGCATTATTTTAAAAACAAATGGAAAGGAGAATAAGAAATATTTTCATCTGGCAAATCAGAAGGCAAAACTAAAAGAACACCAATGTTATGGTTGTATTCCTCACTGTAGGTCTTTCCATTGGCAAAGCCTGTGAACTGTGGCAGATCTGTGGTTGTGGAATTGATAGACAAAGGAGCCACAGATGCTGATCTGAGACTGTGTTAGCTGGTGTCTGCTGAGGAAGCCTGAATATCTCACATGTTTAAGCATAAGGAAGCAAATGAAAGATTACCTGGGAATCTTCTAACTATTTGACATAATCCTTCCTTTCTGCAAAGTGGCTGCTGTATTTCTGGTAATATATTTGCCTGAAAGGAATGAAAAAGATTCTAGTGAGTGAGGCATTCATGAATGCTAAAGCAAAACCAAGCAAACACACACACACAAAAAAAAACAGAAAGTATAGATATGATGCATTGTATAAACCACCACCAACTCACCTTCAAATCTCTGCAAGTCACCATGCAAATCCAGAATAATGAAGTAGCTTATTTGATAACATAAAACTAAAACTTGCCTGTAGGAAGCTTCAAAATATTTGGGACAACTTTTGAAAACCCTTTCATATTTTGAAGCCGTGATATTTGCTAGATATAAAAAGAAATACTTGTGGCTAATATAGTAACACAAATAACTTGATGTTTAGTGGTAATTCAGTGTTAAACCTATACCAAAATTTCATAAACAGTATTAAGGGCATTATTGTTTCTAAATATAAAACCCAGTCACCCACAAAACTTCAACCAAAACTTGTTTCTAGAAAGCTTTGTAAATATCAAAAATTCAAATATACGAATTTGAAAATATTATAAGGGAAAAGATACAGACAACTTTAATTCTTCCCTTCTCTCATGAATTTACAGATTGATTAACTAACATCATCCACTTAATCCCCAAACTAAAACCCAATATGAGAAAACCTTCTTAAAGCCAACAGAAAGAGATCAGTATAAAGTAGCCTGAAAATCAGATTCATTTTTGAGACATTATTGATTACTTTCAAATTAACACTCTAATCTAATAAAGTATTGCAGTTTCTCCACTATGTTCTGCTGGCATGACTTGTTAGAAAGAACCCAGGTGCAGTTGGAGAAGTGAGGCAACTAGAAACAGGGGTGGTAGCCCGCTTCTGGCATTTAAGAGAATCATAACTTGCTCTTTTCTTTTTTTTTTTTTCAGTTTCTTCACTTACAAAATAAAGCATTCAGAACTTTTGATCTCTAGCTCCAATTATGCTCTAAGATTTTTACCAAATCAATAAGATACAGTTCTAAAAATTGATTCACTTAAAGTGCTTGGGAAGAGTGCATCGACAAAATCGTTCCCAGTCTTTGCTACCTTATTAACCCTGTTCATGTGTTCAGCAAACTTTCTTTTCCCCAATATTAGCTATAAGAAAGACAAACTTCAGCCCAGATCCTGTATGAATGAGGCCAAGCTTCAGCAGAACCCACTGTTATCATTCTGCACCAGTGGCATTGCTAAACACTACATTGTAACAGTCCACAAGGACACCTAAGTGTGTATTCATCCTTTTTCATGCTGCTGATGAGGACATACTTGAGATTGTGTAATTTATATAAAAAGAAGAAGTGTTTGTTTGTTTCTTTGTTTTGAGAAGGAGTCTCGCTCTGTTGCCCAGGCAGGAGTGAAGTGGCATGATCTCGGCTCACTGCAAACTTCACCTCCCAGGTTCAAGCAATTCTCTGCTTCAGCCTCCCAAGTAGCTAGGATTACAGGTGCCTGACACCACGCCTGGCTAATTTTTGTATTTTTAGTAGAGATGATGTTTCACCACCTTGGCCAGGCTGGTCTTGAACTCCTGACCTCTTGATCCACCCACCTTGGCCTCCCAAAGTGCTGGAATTATAGAAGAAGAGATTTAATGGACTCACAGTTCCACGTGGCTGGGGAGGCCTCACAATTATGGCAGAAAGTGAAAGTCATATCTTGGTGGCAGACAAGAGGATGAGAGCCAAGTGAAAGGGGAAAGAAATCCCTTTATAAAATTATCAAATCTCATGAGACTTATTCACTACCACGAGAATAGTATGGAGGAAACTGTCCCCATGATTCAATTATCTCCCACTGGGTCCCTCCAACAACATGTGGGAATTATGGGAGCTACAATTCAAGACGAGATTTGGGTGGGGATATAGCCAAACCATATCAAAGTTGACAACCCTTACATTCACTTGCACTGAGAATTGAGAAAAGGCTGTAAGTGCAGCACACTTTCAATCTCAAGGTTGTCTTGGTTTCTCAAATCCAAAATTGAGAAATCTCAGGAACTAAATGTAGAAAAAGAAGAGTTTTCATGAAAACCTGAATTATTCAATTTAGAATTTAAGAAGGCCTGGAGGGAACAGACTGCAAAAGTATAAAGAACCCATAATAGAGATAATTTTTTGTTTTTTGTTTTTAAGTTCAGAAAGCATCCTTCTAAATTAGTCTGTGAAAAGCTTCAAAAATCAGTGAAATTGAGCCATTTTCCCTAAATAGGGCAAAATCATTCAGTTGCTGGTAAATTAATAGAATCTTTAACAATATGACTCAGGAAGAAAATCAGCATTGGGTAAGCAGCGTTTAAGTTTTGGACTGACTCAGGTCCATTGCTAACCTTGTCTTTACCAACAAAGCACTTCAAAAACTTAGAGCCAAGCCAAGGGAAGCAATTGTTCTATCCTTCTGCCTTCTATTTTCCTACCACCCACACAATGACTTCTCCCTGTGTTCCTTCCTTCAAAGTGCAGCTTTAGAATCGATAGCGTGGCTGATAACATAACCGTAGTGACATGTGACACCAGAAATATCGCCTCTATTCTACTCTGGAACTGAGCACCAAACTAAGTAGTTAAACTGAGTAAAGTAACAGAGCAAAGAAGGAAAAACATTCAAGGGTCATGTGTCATACAGCTGTGGTAACTCAACTATATTACACAGATTATAAGTTTTTAATTGTTAAACCCAGCAATACTCTTATTTTTACTTTTATATGTATCATAAAATATATAAGATTTGCATCATTATTAAGTGGAACATCATCAAAGAAGTTTTAATTTGGATTAGCTGACTTTTATATGATGAACTTCTCCAGCCTAACACTGCAATAATTATTTTTTAATGGACTTTATTTCTTAGAGCTGTTTTGGGTTTATAGCAAAATTAAGCAGAAGTTACAGAGATTTCCCATCTACTCCCTGCCCCAACACATGCAGAGCCGCCTCCATTATTAACATCCCCCACTAGAGTGGGCCATGTGTTATACTTGATGAACCTACACTGATACATCATTATCCAAATCATCATTTGTCATTAATACCAATCTTGTATTAGGTTTGAATGTCTTACATACAATATGCATCTATGTGTATGTGTGTATACTTATACACAGACTTATTTTTCTTTATTTAGCACATCCTTTCATATCTTTGAAAGGATTACAATGCACAGATAAAAGGATAATAACATTTAAACCCTATGATATTTCTATGAGGTTAAGTTTCGAAAAAGGGAATATGCGTTTTAAAAGATTTCTATCCCAATATATATTTCCCAATCCCTATTTGTGATAATCTGCATCTAAATTGTTTCTATTACATATTGTCAGAAGCAAAAGTTAAAAAAAAATTCTTTGAGACAGTCTATTAATAGGAAAATTATAATATTAATTATAACCATTTATGTAGTGCTTATAAATAAAAAAACTAAATCTATAGTAATTTATTAGAGAGAACAGACACCTGAATTTGAACTATTTATAAAGCATAAGAAAACACTGGAGGGGGAAGGAATTGATTTTTTGATTATTCCTGAACATTGAGAGTGACAGACACATCATGTTGTATTTTAGAGAAATGCTCTTTTTCCTCATATCTGTAGAGATGTTCATGCCTTTATTTGAACAAAAATTAGAACTTCTCCCAAAGCTGTTCATTGTCATCCAAAATGAAAAGAATTAATGACAAGAAATTAGGAGAACCAGCTAATCAAAGGAAAAAATCTTTTTTCTCCCTATGTCTCTCAAGTGCAATTATCATTCCACCAAATTCATCTGAAAATTCCCAGGGATGCTTTAAAATAATAGCCACTTTGGTAGTTCTCAGTGCTCCAAGTACTAAAAACAGCATCCCAGCTTTAGGGACTGCCAATTATACAACAATTTAGAGCTAGAAATCGGTCTCTCTGCTTTTGAAACACGGGCACCTCACCTGCCCACTTGAGGTGAGACAGCCCCAATTACTAAATTAGTGTTACCCCAAATAATGGACCTCACTTCACTTTTATCATCACACAGACTAACAGGGTTTTAAATTCATGTTACTATTCTGCTGACTGGGAAGAGTCCTGGTGGTTTATTTTCAATAACAGATCTTATGACCATTTTCTTTAAGCACTAAAATTATAAAGCTCTAATGTGATTAGTAATCCTAATTTGAGCCACTGTCCTCTCTTTGTTCATTTACAAGGTTATTGACAATTCTACAACATCTCCAACAAATTTGAAACAACTTCTGTTTTGAATATCTATGCTGTTTACATAATAGTCATGGTTCATAAAGCTTTAAATTATTCTTGCTAGAGAGTGACAGTTATCTATATGTATTATTTAGAATTTGTGTTTCCTTAAGAATACTCATTAGGTTATGCTCCAAGTGCTTTGCCTAAATATTTACTTCAAAAGGTGTTATTGACATGATTAAGAAAACATAAAATTGAAAGGAGAGTGCCTAAGTTTGAATCTTGGTTGCTTTATTAGCTAGGAGGTCTTAGACAAGTTTTATAACCTCTCTGTGCCTCAGTCTCCTCATCTGTAAATAATGGACGTAAATGAACACATAAGCAGTTAGGATGGTGCCTGGCAAACAGAAAGGAGACACAAGTGTGAGCTATTATTATTTGCCATTTATACCTTTAAAATATCTTCTGGATCTGGCCACATATCACCACCCCATTGCTACTCTGCTAGCCCACGTCACTCTCATCTCAGACCTATATTATTACAAAAATTAGTCTCCCTGTTTTAGTCTTTCCTTGCTGGATAGCTTATTTCAACAAAAACAATCAAGGCAATTCTGTAAAAATGCAAATGCACTGATGTCATTTGTCATCTGTGTGCTCAAAATTGTTCAATTACTCCCCACATGCCAAGAGTAAAGGCCCACAGTCCTTACCAGGGTTCTCATGGCCCCATCACTGAGCTTCACAGCTCCAGGTACCTCTCTGCTCTCACCTCCTGCTACGTTCACTCTACTTCAGCCGCAGGGAACTCCTTATGTCCCTCAGACAAACAAGACTTTCTCCCTTT